TCCGTGGCGAGGGGTTCATCCCGCCGGGAATGTTCTCCAGGAACGGGTGGTGGGTGCAGGACGAGCTCCCCGACTCCCTGAAGGATTTCCCGAGGAATTCTCCACCCCAGAACATCCCAGCACCTTTGGGACCTGCGGAGATGCTTTTGGGAACTCACAAGGGATCCCCACGCCCCAGGGAACAGCCGAGCCCCATTTCCTTCACCGGGCAGGACCTCTCCGCCCTCTCCTTCTTCCAGTTCCAGCTGCACCGGGAGGAAAATCTGCTGAGGAACATCCCAGAGGAAAAACTTCTTGCTCCCGATGAAAATGGCAACAGGTCTCTGATTTTTATGTCGAAATATTTTGATTTCTGCTCCCTTGGGACATCCCTTTGATCCAACCTCACCTGGCGCTTGCAGCAAAGGTTTCTCTGCTCAAATTTGCCTCAGTACACAGAATTTTTGGCAGATAATACAAATATAAATATTCTGTATTTGCAGTAGCATTCCCGAGCTGCAGCTGACATCAGGAGAAATTCAGGGTTAAAAGATTTAGGATGAGAGGAGCACGTAAAGATCCAATGAAAATTAAAACCAAGCAAAATAAGTACTGGGGAAAAAAAGCAAAAAAATATCTTTCCCATGCTGCAGCCACTCTCAGGGTATTTATTTAATAATAATGGATGATAATAATTTAATAAAAATTGTTTCCCACTGAGTTCTCTTGCAGGCTGCTGCACAAAGCTGTTGCCCAGGGAAAGAGAGCCCTGACTTTCGCCCTGGCACAAAAATTCGCATCCCTCRACAAGATCGACGAGAAGGATGCAGAGGAAAGGGTAGGATGCTGATTTGCCAAGAAAAAAACCTCATTTTTTATCACTTGAACCCTGTTTCAAACCCCAGTCAAGCACCAAACATCCTGGGAAAGAAGGGAAAATGGGAATGGGGRGGGAATGATGGAGCACAAGTCACAATTCCCCACTTCATTATCTAAAAAATTGAGGGTTTTTTAATTATTTTTGCCTTTCACTGCAACTTTCTGCCCTTTTTCCCTTCTCAGACTGCTTTGCATCTTGCTGCAGAAAAGAACCAGCACCTGATGGTGAATGATCTGATCTCCCTGGGAGCCAACGTCAACGAGCAGGACAGMKSYGGRAAAACTCCGCTCCATCTGTGCGCAGAGAAAGGATATTTGAGAGTTCTGGAGGTAATTTGTGTTGGGCAAAAGTTCTGCAAAATTATTTTTTATTATTAATTTCTTATTAATTTTAATTTMATTCATTTTATTTTAAATCAAGTAATTAGTCTGATTAATAATTTTTTAAAGTAATGATTAAAATAATTGATTAATTTTAAAAATAAATGATAAAAATTAAATAATTAATTATTTARTAYAGAATTAATAGATTAAATTTAATTAAAAATGAAATTATTTAAATAAATGTTTTTCCTAGAGTTCATTTGGAGGGGATTGCAGAGGGATTTGGGGGAAGAAAGGGCGTTTTGGGGCTGTTGAAAATCAGGAATTACCTGGATATTGTTCGTTTCAGGTTCTGAAAAACTGCAAAACCAACGGGGTGTGCGTGGAAGTGGATCTGCCTGACCGCCATGGTGAGGGGGGAACGGTGCTCGGTTTGGGTTCCCAATGCACAAAAAGGATTTTCTGCAGGGAGGGGTCCGGCCCCGGCTCTGAGCTCTGGGCTGTCCCACAGGTCTGACCCCCCTGCACCGCGCGGCGCTCGCCCACACCGTCCTGGTGGCCAAATCCCAAAGGACAGCCCCGGACAGCGACCTGGGGAGGCTGCTGAGCCTGCGGAGATCCCAAATCCTGGAGGGGATTCAGTGCCTGCTGCAGATGGGGGCAGAGAACGGGCTGGAGGTGAGACCCCAAATCTGCA